ACTTGCACACTTAGAACTGGCTGGGAAAGCCTCGTGGTGCAGTTTCCAAGCCTGTAAAACGTGAAGCACAGTTGCGGCCACTTGCAGTACTGATTTTTTTTCAGTGGAGTCAACATGGTATTCAAGATGATGGTGCTCTGTTCAGGCACAGAAATGTGAGTTGTTCAACTACTCTACACATTAGTGCTACTCGCTCAGGCAAATACTGAGGTTACAAACAGCATTCAGATAAGCTGCAGAACAGTTGGTACAAAAGCAGATTGAAGAAAGACATAACCTTGATTTAGGCTTGAAGTATTTGTTCAAAAATGAAGCGCAAAATGACTTGCTAAGTCACATAAGGAAGAAGAACAGTAAAAAAAATTGAAGGGACAAACAAGCCTTTGACAGCTGACTTCAGACTGGAATAAGCTTCCTGCTCATTCAGGTAGATGGGATGTTTTTAGGCAAGGCTCGTCCAACTTTTTTACCAGTTGTGTATATATAAGGGATACAGTAAAACTGCTGCCAGCACACTACTTTCATGAGAGAAAAATGATGGATAATGTGTAGAAATTAGGGTATATACAGTACATTGCTTTTCACATAAATAACAATCACTCCATCAGTAATTCATATAATCAGTGTGTCTGTAACAGGGCACTTTATTAGCATGCCAGAGATGCTCCATGGAAATAGGAACAATTCCAAGACCGCCAGGTCAGTACTTCACCGCTATTGTTGTACAGTTCTGGTTTTAAAAAAAAAAAAAAAATCCCATGAAAGAGAAAGACAAAATCTTGCAGGAGCAAGAAAACAGTAATTTGATCAGTGTTAAGGCAGCATGTGGGAAGGCGGCAGCAAAAGGTGCTTGCTGGAGAGAAACTACAGCTAGGGATCAGTGAGCAGATGGCTCCTTCCAGCAGCCCTTGCAGTGAAGCTGAGCAGTCAGTCTCTTCCTACCGCTGCCACGACACTTCTCTGCGCACACCACCAAGAGAGATGCTGTACCTAAGGAAACCTCCAGCAGAGTATGTATGTCAGTCAACACTTGCAAAGAACCGAAAGGTGCTTCCTTATTCTTCTGGTGCCATAAGCATTTTTGCTATTTATAACAACTTAAAAAAGAAAAAAAAAAAAAAAGCAAAACAAAGGATCCTGAGACTGCGGCCATCTCCTCGCATGGGTTTGTTGTGCGGCCAACCGGTTTGTGGTGCCTGCTGAAGGAAATGTTTGGTTTTTTTCAGGTCAATCGATGACTGCTGTGTGATGCTCCACCAGCTGTGTGGTGATTGAAGGGCTTTGTAGAGGAGTAGGAAGAGCAGGGAGGGAATGCAAAGCGTGAAAGCATGCTGCTGCTTCGCTGTGAAGCTGCCCGTGCACAGCCATACCGCTTGGACGTACCCATGGTGCTGCCGCAGCTGGCAATCAGACAAGTCCCTTCCTGAGTGGAGTGAGGCACTTGGGGCATGAGCTGCTCCGGGGTCATATAAGGAATCAAGAAAGCTGCTGGGACTCATGATCCTGGATCCTGCCCCCTGGCCATTGGCTTTAGTACATGCAGCGCTCTTAATTTCCTTGAGCCAATGAGCTAGACAAGGATGGTGCCAAGTGCAGTGCATGGGAAGGAGAGGCCTCAGAGCAGTGAAGCAGATGTTGTACCAACACCTTCTGAACATCCTTAAATTGCCTCCAGTCTTCCTGCTTTTATTAAATTTCTGTATCTTCTTCTCTCCACATTTCCAACAGCAGTTTAGTAACCAGGAAATGGCTGCCACCTCGTTTCTTTGATCTTAGCTACCGGAACTTTGGTAAACAGGGGAGCTCTTCATTCCTCCTCAGTCATGTCAATGCAATGCCCCAAGTGCAAATTGTTAATCTAAGTGCATTTCAAATCACTCTAAAATCATGAAGAAGTGCAACTTCTTCCACTTTACAGACACAGGGAGAGATTAAGCATTGTGCAGGAGACTCCACTTTGAGTTTTAGCAGAGTTCAGGAAAAAACCCAATGTACTGGATCCCAGGTCTTCTGCTATAACTGTGGTGCCTCTTGGGCTTTCTCTAGAGCAGGGACTTAGAAGCACATGAGAAGGATGTGTGAGATAATGAACTGTAATTAAAAGCTATTGTAAATCTAGTGTACGCTTAACACCTGCTCCATTCATTGAACTTGAGCATGAAAAAAGCATTCTCAAAGAGGAGTGAAAGGAAGTGTAATGCAGAAAAGTAAAAGTGGGATACTTCTTTACAGATATTATTCACAGCAATTTGAAAACCACCAAATGACTGTGGAGCCCACATCGCGTCTTAAAAAGTGGCTGGAGGATCTCCCACAGGAGGGCAGTGTGGCAGCACCTACTGACCATCATCAGGACTTCGGCTCCTACTTGTCTTTGGGATTCTGAAAAATAATTATACCCAGTGAGTCACTGAATGAGGGCTCCCATCCCAGGAGGCTTCAGGTTCTACGTTTTCTTTTAGCGAGATTCTAGCATAATGTAGACTCCATTTTTTGGTCCAAGTGTGGCTTTGGATTTCAGCTGCAAAGGAATCTGAAAGAAAAAAAACCATTTTATGTACAGTTGTATGTATTTGTTTATGTGTGTGTAACACCCTCACATACAGACAGGCATTTTTGCTGGGGGACCAATTCATACTAGGATTACTGTGGAAGCTGTAAAGTACTTGTTTTACAGTCAGCTGTGGTAGTATAATATTAAATAGAATTTACAGCCAGAGGCTGAGGCAGTGGTTGCCCAGGTATATTGTAGAGCTGAACAGAAAGAAATTAACTCTGTAAACCCTAGAGCTGCTGAGTAAGTGCCAGGTGCAATATATATATATATATATATATATATGTATAGCAATAGTCATATACTAAAATGCTGAGATCCCATGCACTCACCCA